AGCTATCGTTGGAACATTAATGCCCTTTCCTCTCCGGAATTAAATCGACGCGATTTAATTATTTTTAAAAACCTATAAAAAATTTATGGCGCAAAATATTACCTCAGCCAGGATTCGAACCTGAAACCTCCCTCACTCCGTGAAGGGCGTCATATTAAGCCGTTTATCAAATTGGAATAGATGTATATGTATATTATACTCAACATCTCGAGTACTCGCAACTCGTCGCGTCGCGGCGTCGCGTAAAAGAGTCACGGTGCGGTTTCGCTTTGGGTGTACTTGGCGCGAGACACCATCGTGTCTCTTGATACATTGTAATTTGTTACTTCTGTAACTATTAATTAGATTTATTTACTTGCGCATTACGTACCGCGCCTGACTCGTATAGCAGTTTATTAATTTGTTGACATTTTCACGAGTCTAATGACATATTTTGATTTTTATTTGACGAATGTTAATTTAGTACTATTCCGTATATATATAATCTATTTATGAGGAAGTTCTTACATGCTATTTTAAATTTGCATTGTCATTTAGAAACACATTTTATTGACATAGAGTATTGCCTATTACATTTCAGTATATATATAATATATAATATACAATATATAATATACAATATATAATATATAATATGTAATATATAATATATAATATATACTATATACTAATTTTTGGTAAAACTGAAGGAGAGCTCCCTCCTCACCGATTTCGATGAAATTAGGCTTAATCGATTCGTTTTTGCACAAAACGAATGAATCTGGCAGAAAAAAGCCCCGCTCGGCCCCGCGACGCGAGATATTAACTGTTAAAGTTGACGACTATCAGGTTATGAGACCTGTCATACCGACGCGATGCAGCAACTACGGACATGCTCCGCGACCACATGCGCATGCTCCGTGGTCACATGTGTAGTCGATGTACTTGAGCGCCTAACCTCAATTACATCATATATTGTTGTGTGCAATTCAAAAATATTTACAATGTCCTATTCAATAGAGCAATTAAATAGCAATCCGTGGCTAGCGGTTCAAGATGTTGTTGACTGATATTAAGTGTTGAAGTTAACGAATCAGAAATAAAATTGTTAAAGCAGAGAATAGTTGGTATATGAAAAGTTCATATTTACATGTACTTTTCATATACCAACTATTCTTTGCTTTAACAAATTATTTCTGTTACAAATATTAAGCGTTTAAGTTAACGAAACATAAATAATTTGTTAAAGCAGAGAATAGTTGGTATATGAAAAGTACACATAAATATTTACTTTTCATATATCAACTATTCTCTGCTTTAACAAATTATTTATGTTACAGGTTGAAGTTAACGAAACAGAAATAAAATTGTTAAAGCAGAGAATAGTTGGTACATGAAAAGTTCATATTTACATGTACTTTTCATATACCAACTATTCTCTGCTTTAACAAATTATTTCTGTTACAGTTATTAAGCGTTTAAGTTAACAAAATATAAATAATTTGTTAAAGCAGAGAATAGTTGGTATGTGAAAAGTACACATAAATATGTACTTACCAAACAGACAGTTGTCACGTGACCTTCTTTTGCATGCGCGTGCGGCTACGGAGCATGCGCATGTGGCCGCAGGGCATGTTCGTGGTCGCTACCAGTCGCTACATCGCGTCGGTATGACAGGTCTCATAACCTGATAGTCGTCAACTTTAACAGTTAATATCTCGCGTCGCGGGGCCGAGCGGGGCTTTTTTCTGCCAGATTCATTCGTTTTGTGCAAAAACGAATCGATTAAGCCTAATTTAATCGAAATCGGTGAGGAGGGAGCTCTCCTTCAGTTTTACCAAATTTTTTTGTATGCACAAAATATTAGCATTGTACTGTCATTTTACTGCATATATTTTTACAAGATTTTTGAATACTATATATAATTATTATGTGTACTATGCGGAAGCACAATGAATTAAACTTAGTATTACTGAGATAAAAAATATATATATATTTTACTTATAATGACATATAAATCTTAGCGAGCTTATCTCCATGCCGGTTCGAACGAGAGAAAGACCGGCCGCGCGGTAGCGTTAGGTTAAATATATCGAGACTCTCGCTGTATCGTGAACGCGCTCGCAATTTAAAGCTAGCAAACCATCGACATTGAATGTTTTCTTGCTGAAAGCGTATTCTATCTTTATTACACATTATGTGTTATAGAATACGCACGAAAGCGTCCAAAGGAAACGCAGCCATAGTATGGACTGATCAGGTATAGCAAAATATGATCGGTGACTCACATCGGTCGAAGAAAAGAGATAGCGACTGGTAAAGGTCAAGCTGTCCTTTTCTAACCGAACGAGGTAGAGGTCAATTTTACCGGATACTTTTTAAAGGCTTTCATGGGATCGCGTAGTCCATACCATGTCGATGTAGCAAACTTAACAACTATGAACATACTAGATTTTGAGCCCGCGCCAAGCGCCAAGCGCGGGTGAAAAATCTATTCCCCTCTCCCCAAACTCACTCATTAATTAGAAGGATCAATAGAACCCCATAAAACCTAATTTTTAACCCCATAGTAGCCATCTCCATAAAATTAGTAATCTTTTGGTACCAATTTCATCAAAATCATCAACAAAAAATTAGAAAAGATTTGGCACTGGTTTCAAGAAAATCGATCCATTAATAAAAAATTGAACATCCTCCAAAAATTAAAAAAATTTTGGCACTGGTTTAAAAAAAATCGGCCAATTAATACTTATTATTTCTCAAAATTTTAATAATTTCCAAACCGGTTTCCAAAAAAATCGGTAACAAAAAATTATATACTTTATAGCACTCCCAGAAAAATTCTACCCCTGTTTCATATATAACTCTTTGAAATTTGGTCAATTATTTCCCGAAAAATTAGAAAAACCGGTTTCCAGAAAATCGGTAACAAATCTTACGTACAAAATATTTCATTTAAAACTAATCGACCTATGAACGATTTAATTCCCCAAAATTATAAAAAAAAGATTTATTTTTTTTGGCCTTTACAGCTTTCTCTGTTTCATAATTTAGTGCTGCTCTTAGCAATAGATCATCCTGACCGTCTTCAAACGTATATATTTTTTTAAATTACATACATTATTTTAAACAAAAATCGGAAACGTTTCAAGAAAATCAGTACATTAATGAAAAATTAAACTCGCAGTTGCAAAAAAAATCAGCATATACAATTCTTCGAGATTCGGTCAATTATTTCCAGAAAAATTTTGGAACCGGTTTCCAAAAAGATCGGTAACAAAAAATTATACACTTTATGGCAATTCCCGGGAAATATTCTACCCCTACGTCATATACAATTCTTTGAGATTTGGTCAATTAATTCCCGAAAAATTTGAAAAATTTCTGGTACCGGCTTCCAAAAAGATCGGTAACGAAAAATTATACACTTTATAGCACTCCCAGGAAAATTCTACCCCTGTTTCATATACTTTTGGTAAAAATTCGGTCCATTAACAAATGAGTAGTTTGCGGACAAACGGATGGACGGACGGACATACAGACAAATAGTCGGGTTTTATATAATAGTAAGTATGAAGTAGGACTAGTATGATATTTGCTAGTATGAAATTTATAAATAACAATGACTACGCACGAATGTCGTTCATGTATAGCCGTTGTTATGCACTCCTTCCAATGCCTCGTCACGCATCTAACAAAACGTGAACATTGAGCTGTTCCATCTCGTCGAATCGCATCCTGATTCACGTATCTGTGTTAAGTAATTTCTCATTAATTATTAAGAAACTTACAAAATGATAAAGGACTTTTTGATCCGGTTTTGCCCGCTCTGCCCACGAACAGTGCATATTACATGATACTAAAATATATTAAAATATTTTTAAAATATATATGTAAATGTACCTCTCTTTCTTTGTTTCTTCTCTCTCTCTCTCTCTCTCTCTCTCTCTCTCTCTCTCTCTCTCTTTCTCGCTCGCTCTGGAGGTCTTTCTTCCTCTCTTTCCTCTTCCCCTTTTATTTGTTTTTTATAATGTTAAGGAAAAAGTATCTAATCTGTAATTGAAACCAAATATATACATACATACATGCATACATGCATACTTACATAATGTATACATGTATACATAAATATAATATATGTTAGAATATTTTTGGAATATATACCTCTTTTTGTATCCCCTTCCGTTCTCTCTCTCTCTCTCTCTTGAAAATTTTTTTCTTGGAACTCTTTCTGTAATTTCGCACTGTCAAACGCGAAACAAATTTAACCTTTTTTGACACCCATTGACAAGCCGTTGAGATAACTAACCAACATCATTTAATATCAATTTCACTCTTATGATAATTTCGAGATTCGATCTGCATATAAGCGAGATAACTAATCAGCATCAAGAAATGTGAACGTGTGAATTGCACACGTAGTTGCATTGACCAGAGCGGTATAAACGCATTTTGAGGGACAAACTGACTTTGCGTGTGTGATGTGTTCGTGTGACTGAAATCTGAACTTTTTCCTGATTGTGAGATGTCGCCGAAAAAATTCACTTTTTGACATGTGAGATTTTGAGATCTCAGTATTGACTGCACCAATCTTAATCAAATTGGTCGCAATCGAAAGCTCGTATCAACGTTATATTAGAAAACTGTTGTCAGATTTTTGATCGCAGTTTTCTTTCTTGAGATATTTTATTCGGAAAATCGATCGGCCCGAAAACTCCATATAAGCTACTTGGTAGCGTCGTCTGCTAACTCTCTTTTTATGTTGGCGTCGCGACGCTACCGTGTCGCTTGATAACATCAGAAGACCTCTTTCATTTGCTAATAACATTTATGTCATATATGAGGACGCATCTTTAAATATCTATGCAGCCATTTTCAATTTAAAATTTCATTATGCTGACAATATACTGACATATGTCTATCTGGGACATATTGATTATTTACCCTGGTAGAAAAATGTCTCAGAATTTTTTACATCATTAATCAGAATTTTTATAAAAATTTTCTCAGAATTTTTCCGATTTTTAATATAAATTGGAATGTTTTTTTTTTTTTTTAGAAAAACAGAATAAGAATAAAATATTTCAGATTTTTTCTGCCAATATATCTGCTATCATATCATGATGTCAGATTCTGTTAGATTTCTGTTCTACATACATTATTTGACACGGAGCAGATTATGTATAGCTTTGCTACTGCAAAAATTATGCCAGTATAGCATGCAGTATACAGTTTGCAGTATACAGACAAAGCGAGCTCTTAGGGTATATCCAGACAGTGCATAAACATAAGCATAAGAAAATGTATTGGTCTATTTTCTTATGCACATGTATATGGACCAATCAATTTTTTTATGTTTATGCATTATGCGTTATGCAAAAGTCTGTGTTTTGGCCTTTAGACTTGGCTATCTGGGCAATCGTAAATGGAATTGATTAATTTATGGATTCTCCAAGGTAAGAACTGCACGCTGGACAGTAATGTTTGTGGATTATACAAGAATCCATGAAGTAAGGACACGGTGCGCAACAACAGCATCTGCAAAAGAACATCAGATTTAATCAGATTTTTTTTTCGGTAAAATTCTCTTACCCTATATATCGAAATCTTACCCGCATACACAGAGTAGAAACGCAATTAGATGTGTTTTCATGTTCGGTACCGATTCTACGCGCGTATTTATATCAACGTTGCAACGTGGACAGGTCATACGTTGATTTTCCTTGCTAAAGGCTGTCGGCGTTATAATCGTATGTACCGTATCTGTATGTACCACATTAGACGTGTTAAACTTTAAAAGTATTAACTTTAAAAGTATTAATCATAGATGATTAATTAGGTATGCATAAATATTGTATGTATGCACTCGCTTTCTATAATATGATTATTAGTTAAGACTTCTTTTTATAATTTTGCACTTACGTGGTGAAGGTGGCATTGATAGTGGCGGCTGCTGATAAGAGTATGGTGCTGACATATAATTTGGTTGTGGGTCCATTTTTTCCATTTCTATTTCCATTTTACAATGGTTTAACTATTCTTTTGTTATTATCTAACTGCAAAGAAATACAAGATAAATTATAATTTTATGTAACATTTTTAATCATCTAATTGCACTGTCCGTTCTTCGTACGTAAAATCTAGTATTACGCTTATATTATAATACATAATTATATAAGTCGCTGCAAGTCTCACACGAATGCAATTGCTACTATATATGTTACAACCTTATTTTCATATCACTAAAACATTTTTATCGCAATATATAAGATTGTAACGTTGTTGAGCAATAATGTTGAAAAGAAATAACAATAAAAGAATAAGTAGATTAAATAATAAATTCGTGAGTGCAGCAATAAAGCTGAACGACGTAGTTATCGTGTCGGACAGTAAAAATAAACTTACACAAGATGTTCGCGATTGATGTATGCCATTAACAAATATTCTACATAAAAAACTTAGTCCGAAAGTTCTTTACAGTTTTTGGATATTTTTAATATTAAGCGAGATATTACAAGTTGAATTTTGAAGAATTTCTCAAATCAAGTAGCTATAAATGAGGCGGTGCATGTTTGAATAATCCGTAAATAAAAGAAAGACATTGCCTTGAAATCTCAAGACTGAATACTACAAAAAGAACACTGCTTAAAATGTGTTAATAAACTGTGATGTAGAGAATATATTTTGTTACGTTTAGATTATTTTTTTAAATAAAGCAAAAACTTTCTCTACACAAGTACGTAGGCATGGGACTAGTAGAGGAATCTGCGGTCTTGCTCTTGACCAAACTACTGAGCGCGTGGCGCGTAAATCGTAACGGTTGATTTGAAAAATTGTTCAAACTTTAACTTGAAATATCTCGCCTAATATTAAAGATATCCAAAAACTGTAAAGAACTTTTCAACTCAGTTTTCTCTGTAGAATATGCGATTTTATTAATGACGGAAAAAAACGGATTGTTGCACCGACTGATACAGATAATTTTCAAAGAACAAAACGTATAGTAACAATCTTAATGATATGTCTATTGATTTCTTATCCATTTTAAACAAGGTGGAGGGATAAACGGGATTTGGAGCAAATAATCTAAAAAGCAAAAAAAAAAAGCAGTATGTTAGCAGTTTGCCGACAGATTTAAGCAGAACATTGGAGTAGATTGCTGTCAACTGCATTCTAATTAATCAAGCTAGTGTTTCGTTAGCGAAGACTATCGACATCGACATAATACGATTGCTAGTAGAAACCGAACGATATCTGTCATTTCGTAATCATTTAAATGGAATGTATTATTTAAATTATAGTTGCCACATCAAATATTAAACAAAAAAAGATAGAATGATATTTTCAACGCTGAAAGCGTCAAAACGAACGTAGCCCTGAAGTGACTCAAACCGCTCTTTCCAAACAATGGTATATGCGATGGAGAAGATCTAAAAGAAAGGAAAATGGGTACCGTATCGATTAGTTGACTGAGGAGAATATATTGTGCGCGACATTTTGGCGCCAGTCTCGCACCGTTGACGAGACGAAAGAAGAGTTTTTTGTGGTAAATCATGACAGGCGACAAAAAAAAAGGTATACTACGATAACCCTAAACGCAAAAAATCGTGGGCGGATTCTAGGTAACCGATGACCTTGATATTAAAACGCAACATACACGACAGATAGAGAAGCTACTTCTCTGTATCTAATATGATGAACATGGGGTACTGTGGTGATTATGAGTGATGGACTTCTTCCACCGGGTCAAATAATCACAGCGGAAATGCTATACGTGCATCAATTAAACCGTTTTAATTAGGCACTTTGAGAGAAACGTCCAGCATGTGCCTCAAAATGACACAAAGTTATTTTGCATCACAATAACGTGAAGCTCCATATGTTGCTAATTAATGTCAAATAAACGCTGTATATCTCGAATGGAACGTCCTTTTTCATCCAGCGTACTCCCTAAATATCGCGCTGTCTATAATTACTACTTCTGGTCAATACAGTATAGTTTCTTCTATACACATTTTGGAAATAAAACAGAATTAAAGTTAGAAAATAGATCGACGACTTTGTCGCGTCAAAAGAAGAGACATTCTTTCGCTGTGGCATCCGTATATGCTGCCTGAAAGATAGCAAAATGTGATAGATGCAAACGGAAAAGGTTTTTAATAAAACGATTATGTCGTTTCTCTTGCATTAATAAAAAAAAATTTTAACTCATGGCACAGTACTTATTTCTACTTTATATATTTATGTATTCTTCCTCTTTTTTTCTATTTTCTTCCTCTTTCCTTGGTATCGCGTTTTATGAACAGTCTAAGTGATGTTAATTAAGTCGTGGGAGTCGTATGAAATAAATTATTTTTGCTCTACTGTCTTTACTTTTCTCTTTCCCTCTCTCCTGAATTAATATTGATTATTTTTTTATTATTAAAATATTGATTAAAATATTCGTATTAGTAAAATTAATAACAATAAATAAAAATATATAAAAACTCTCTTAAATAAAATTATATGATATTAACAAATTTAGCAATAAAAGCCAGGCGCGGTAATTTTGCGCTATAATATATAAGTTATTATAATCTAGACTAATAAGATTAGCGTACGTTTTGGCCTTTCCTTTAGATCATTTTCAGCGCATAACGTTAGTAAATTATCTTACATAATTGTCGGAATTTAACGCAGTCAATCAATTATCAATTTGTAGATAGTCATTAATTATATTTATATCATCGATCGTTTCTCATACATAAAAGTAAAAGCAAATTTAAGCTCCAAAGCACATCCATCACTTCGAAGATACTTAGATTTGTTAACATTATTTGATAAAATTAATAACTTCTCATGTATATAAAATTGACTTCTGTATTAGTTGAAATCAGCTGACAGATATTATCGCAACTTTATTTTATATTACTTTATTCAATTTCCGTTACAATTGACAAATTAACAGTAAGAAAATAAGAATTTCTGTATTCCGGAGCTATATCAGTGTAAGTCATAATTGCTGATTAAAAAAAAAAAAAAACATTAAAACGCTAATCGTAGTGCTTCTCAGGCATAGTTTGTCAAACGTAGAAATAAAATAAATCTTGGTTAAAAACAATTATTCGTTCACAATAAAGGCAATAAAAAAGTGAATAATTTGCATCACACGTGAAATATTCTTTTAGTATTAATGATTCTATATAACGATAGTTTTATTTTTAATCACAATGGCGAATTTTAACACGTCCACTATCATATGTTTGACGCATCGATTCTCAGGAGAGGATCATACATGTATAACACAACTTTATATCGTCATACATGTGTAACACTTTATGTAACATATTCAGTTGCTTGTTTCCTGTGTGTGTTCCTATGTGTACGGAAGTAAAAAATGTGCAGCATACTGTGCGTACTCGTAAAAATAAGGTCTGTAGCGAGCGGTACCGGTAATCGTTTTCCAGCGGTAGCGAATGTGTTAATTTCGAGACTTACAATAACTTCGCTCCAAAATCAAGGTCTTGGGTCATCTTCCTTTCAAACACAAGCTATTCCTTGGCGATAAATTTTGCCAAAAACTTTTCTTTTTGTTGTGGAAATCATAACTAGCTTACCGCTTGCGAATTCGTGCAATTCTTCAGTTTGGAGCCGATCTGTTAATAGGCGTACCTGTTGTGTCAGGAGAACGCTCGTTTGAGAACGTTCGTTGGAGACTGCTCGAATACTCGCGGCGCGCACCAAAATCACACTGGCAGAATTATCAGCGACGAATGCGGTATACGTGGGCTGTAAGCTGGTCTTATACATATATCGGATTCTCTGCTCGATCCAAGGCGGGTTAGGCGGGATGCGGGATTCGCGTGGATGGGAGACTGTATTGGAAAATAAAACTCACAGACGTCACGGAGTCGCCACGATGTCGGAGATCCGGAAACGGGAACACACAATCGACAAAAGATTAAGATATCTATAATACTTTGAACTTCTTTTTGGTTTTTTCAACTTAAAAACTGAGAAACAATGCTTATATAGGATGTCACCTAATTCGATTGCGCTCACTATTTACACATGGTGTGATATTTCTCATAAAAAACTGTCGAAAGTCGAAAAGTTCTGAATTTTATCGAATTATGCTTAATAAAGTAGTTATTAAGTAAATAAGTAGTTATTATTAATTAAAGATTAACCAGTCAGCATCGCTTCTTAATAGACGCACGCTAGTGAGCCGCGTATATACTAATGTGCGTGAGTGTGCCGCCGCGCCGCGCCGTCGCGCCGTCGTCGCGCTGTCGCGCCGCAATATTGTTCCTTTGTCACGGCCATCCACGTAAAGGGATCTTAGGGCCGATTTCACAGTCCGATTAACTTGATTTTTCGATTAAACTCACTCATCTTCATTTCTTTTTCACTCTTTTCATCTCTTTTTAACTCCCTTATATCTGTTTCTACCAATGCAGATTAACTTTGATCTTGATTTAACTTACCTTTTATCTTTCTCTAATTTTAAGAACTAGAAAAAGATAAAAAGTAAGTTAAACCCCGCGATTAAAGTTAATCTACATTGGTAGAAATGGACATTAGAAAGTGACGAAGAATGAGTTTTATCGGAAGATCAAGTTAATCGGAGATGGTGAATGGCCCTTAGATTCGAAATAATTATTAAATACTTTTTGCAATAAGTATGATATTTTTCACGCTAAAAACATCTTTTTAGATTACAATTCAATATTTGAATTGGAATCTCGTCAAAATTTAACAGTTTAAATATACTTTTACATATAAGAAAACTGTAGTTCTTCAAAATACACACACAATAATTATTTTATGAGTTCTTTCTGTTGATAATATATATCTATATATATATAAGTCACGTTTGTCTGTCTGTATGTACGCGAACTATTCATTTGTTAGTGGACCAAATTTGTACCAAAAGTATATAAAATAGGGGTAGAATTTTCCGGGGATAAAAATGTCGCGGTTTTTTTTTGTTACCGATCTTTTTGGAAACCGGTTCCGAAATTTTTTCAAATTTTACGAGAATTAATTGACCAAATCTTAAAGAATTGTATATGAAGTAAGGGTAGAATATGTCCCAGAAAGTGCCATAAAGTGTACAATTTTTCGTTACCGATTTTTTTGGAAACCGGACTCATTCGTTAGTGGACCAAATTTTTACCAAAAGTATATGAAATAGGGGTAGAATTTTCCGGGGAGTGCAATCATGTGGTTAATTTTTCGTTACCGATCTTTTTGGAAACTAATTCCGAAATTTTTTCAAATTTTACGAGAATTAATTGACTAATCTCAAAGAATTGTATATGAAGTAAGGATAGAATGTCCCAGAGAGTGCCATAAAGTGTACAATTTTTTGTTACTGATTTTTTTGGAAACCGGTTACAAAGTTTTCCAATTTTTCGGGAATTAATTGACCGAATCGTAAAGAATTGTATATGAAGTAGGAGTAGAATTTTCCGGGGATTGCCATAAAGTGTATAATTTTTCGTTACCGATCTTTTTGGAAACCGGTTCCAAAATTTTTCCAATTTTTCTGGAAATAATTAACCGAATCTCAAAGAATTGTATATGCTAATTTTTTCGAAACCGCGAGTTTAATTTTTTATTAATGTACTGATTTTCTTGAAACGTTTCCGATTTTTGTTTAAAAGAATCTACGTGATTTTTAAAAAAAATGTACATTAGAAGACGGTCAGGATGATCTATTGCTAAGAGCAGCACTAAATTATGAAATGGAGGAAACTGCAAAGGCCAAAAAAAATAAATCTTTTTTTTTATAATTTTCGGGAATTAAATCGTTTATAGGTCGATTAGTTTTAAATAAAATATGTTGTATGTAGGATTTGTTACCGATTTTCTGGAAACCGGTTTTTCTAATTTTTCGGGAATTAACCAGTCACTTCAAATCGTGACTGTCGCGAGCGATTAAGACCGGTTTTTGGAAACCGGTTACAAAATTTTTCCAATTTCTCGAAAAATAACAGTAGTTCGCGGTCAGACAGACAGACATACAGACGTCAGGTACTTATATATATAGATAGGGGCAGAAAGAACTAAAGAATGTAATAGAATTAGAAAAATTGCTAATAGTAAAGGGGTTTCCGTTAAAAAAAATATACGTGATTGCTTCAATTTCCGCAAACTTTGAGATATCAAGCTGAATTTTTTTATGGACAATTTTTTTAATGGATAATTTTTATGGATAATTTTTTGTTACCAATTTTTAGAAACCGGTTTGGAAATTATTAAAATTTTGAGAAATAATAAGTATTAATTGACCGATTTTTTTAAAATCAATGCCAAAATTTTTTAAATTTTTGGAGGATAAGTTTAATTTTTTATTAATGGATCGATTTTTTTGAAACCGGTGCCAAAATTCTAATTTTTTGTTGATGATTTTGATGAAATTGGTACCAAAAGATTACTAATTTTATGGAGATGGCTGGGATTGATGGGATTGATGGGATGGCTGGGACTATGGGATTGAAAATTGGGTTTTATGGGGGTTCTATTGGTGCTCCTAATTAATGAGTGAGTTTGGGGAGAGGGGAATAGATTTTGAGCCCGCGCGAGTAAAAAATTTAGTTTATTAATAAATCACAGAAAAAGAAGCATTGAGCCGCAACAAGGTGGAAGTGTTGTAAAATTCTATATTAAGGAAACAAATTGACAAACGTTTCGGGCTCTTATGGGACCATCTTCAGTGTCAAAATAACAATTAAGTCCAAATTTCGAAAAAGTTTACACGTTACATACTCTTACACTAAACTCAAAAACAAAATACTCCTCTCCTAAGGAATTTGTAAGTCAATTTTAACTTCACACATCAGCACGGAAATGTCGATCCTGCGAAATAATTCACAACAAATTGAAACAAACTCAGATTATGGTCCACTTCGGATTCAACGTTGTTGCATTAATTGTCGTTGCGTTAATTTAGTTGCGTTAATTTTAGTGTAGGAGTATGTAACGTGTAAACTTTTTCGAAATTTGGACTTAATTGTTAT